CGCACGCACACACGCACGCACACACGCACGCACACACGCACGCACACACGCACACACGCGCGCACGCACACACGCACACACGCACACACGCACGCATGCATGTCCCCTCCCGGCTGTCCGCCCCCCGTGCCCCTTTCACCTTTCCCCCTCACAGCCATCCGCGCCGTCGTGCGTGACATGACCTGCCCGGAGCTGCTCAACTATTCCGACGATGAGGATAGCGAGGCCGATTCCGACGAGGGGTCCGACTCGGACTCCGACTCCGGCTCCGACTCCGAGGATGATGATGCCGGCTCCGAGGCCTTCACCGATGACTCGGATGACATCTACGCCGCCGGGACCACTGCCGCCGGGACCGCCACCACCGAGCTGGAGTCCGCCCTGGAGAAGCTGTCCATCTGACAACCGAGCGGGTGATCTCCCTTTGCTTGCCGTTGTTCTGCGTCCATCCCCCAGTCCCCCTCGTGCGCGCGCGCCCTGTCCTAGATGCTTCGAGGGGGAGGGGGGGAAAAAAAAAAACCTCAAAAACCCAAATACGACTCCCCCCTCCCACCCAATCCATGCCCTTGTGCTGTCGTGTCCCTCCCCGGCGTTCCGGGCTCTTTTTCCCTGGATCTTCATTCCGACGCCTGTGCTCTCCTTCTTCTTTTTTTTGCCCCATCCCTCCGCCCCTGTTTGCCTCTGTCTCTCTCTCTCTCTCTCCCTGGCGCCCCTGCGCTCTGGTGTATGGCCTCGCGCGGGGGGCGCCGATGTACATGTGCACGGCTGCGTGTATGGGGCATTGGAAATGTGATTGGGCGGGCCATCGATTGGCCCGGCGGTCCGTTGCTCATGCACGCTCCCCGAGGAAGTCCATGTGGTAGAGAATGGTCCGCCCGTAGAAGTCCGCCGGACGATCTAGCTGCAAGGTGACCCCCACACAGGCCGGGGCCCCGGAAGCGGCTGTCAAATCCAGCCGGGCCAGGTCGGCGGGCAGTGGCCCGGCCTCCGCCTCGGGAAGATGCCCATACACCAGAGGAAGGGTCTGGGGGGTGCTTCGATCGGCCGGGTAGACCAAAGCATGGACCAGACGCAAGCCCCCGGTGTCGGTGGGCACGGCAAAGAACAGGCGAATGCGCGAGCAGGAGAAGCCCCCCTGGAAGGTAAGCTGCACGTGCGTCAGGCGAACCGGCGTGGCAAAGGACGCCTGGATCAGGTGCGTCTTCTCCTGGGAGAGGTTGTGAGAGTGGCATTAGTGGCAAGGGTGGCGAGCGGGGGGGGCGGGGGGGGGCGGAGGGGGCGGAGGTCGGGATCTGTGTAGAGCAATGACACGGGTGTGGCTCGGGCGTACAGGCAGCGATTGCCAGCAGGCGGTGCTGGCCCGGTCCAGGACGCTCTGGCTGGCCTGCGTGGAGGTTTGGCCCTCGGAGTACGAGGAAAAGCTGGCGGGTGGGGGAGCATGCGGCGGCCGGTTGGTGGTTAGGGCTCCGAGCCGGCCGGGTGGCCTGGGCGGGGGACAAATGCGGCCTGCAGCACGCACCGAAGCGGCCGGGACAGGAGAGTCCCCTGGCTCTGGGAGAGTATCCCGAGTGGACTGGCCATGGCTTATATATATGTGTGTGTGGGGGTGTGGGTGTGGGTCGGTGCACAATGTGGTCCGGAGACAAGGCACAGGAACGCGCGGAGGGGCGCGAGCAAGGCGAGGCACGGGCGGGAAAGGGAGCAGCGTATGGTTTGCAAGAGGGAGACCAGGGGGGGGGGGGTGTCTGTTCAGGGTGCTGTGGCTTGAGGAGAAGGCGACCCCGGAGCCTGGCGGCGGGCGGCAAGGGCGGCACCTCCCGCTGGATCGCCCCAATCACGCCGGCAAGTCACGCCGGGCTTTCTCGGTGGGGCCGTGTGCCGCGCTCGATCGGCGGCGGCCCAAGGGGTGGATTGGCCCGAGGAGTGGCAGGTCCCGGTCCTCCGTCCCCCCGGGGTCTAAGGCGGAGGGAGTTGTGCGTGCGCCGGTGCGTGTGCGTGTGCGTGTATGTGCGTGGATATTCTTTTTCACTTTTAAACATGTAATTTCCTGCCGGATCTCTTGGTCAGCTTCTCTGTGTCCCCCCTCGCTCTGTCCGAAAGGTCATCGGGGGGAGGGGGGTATGCTGTGATGAATGGTGGCTGGCTCGCGCCGATTAGGTTCTTGTCAGCGGCGATATCCCAGGGCGATACGCACAATGGGCTGTTCTTGCCGCTGTGCTCATCCTTTTCGTCGCACGATGGCCGGCTGGTCCGGGCGTCTGACGGCAAGACCGGGGGGGGGGGGAAGGGGGGGCTGGAGCGGAGCGAGGGAGACCCTTGGGGCGCGGGGATTTTACGCCAGCCGCGCGGAGCCCGGGTGTTTATCCCGGCAGGAGGGAAGGCCCGCATCCTGTCAGAATCCCCCCGGTCGAGGCAGGGCCGTGCTGGGCCGACGCCCAGACTTGGCAAAACCCTGGCCCGTCCTCGTAGGAGCCCTCGCGCCCTGGGCGTCGTCGCGTGAGAACACACCCACACACCCGTGGCGGTTTCTCCTGTTCTCGCTTCGCCCGCCCCC